CCGCGGAGTGTGCCCCGGGCCGGCCGGCAGCCTGCAGCCCCGCGGCGAGGCCCCGCTGCGAGCAGGTAAGGGCCGCCCCGCCGCCCTTGCCCCTCCACGCCTCGGCCGCCCTCCCCCGACTCTAGAACCTTCGCCCCTCGTTGGCCGCGGACCCTCTCCTCCAGCCCGGCGGTCTCCACCGCGTCCTCCACCGACGGAGATCGGGCCAGGGCCAGCGCGGGGCCAATCTCCCGAATCCGAAATGACGCGCCTTCCCGCCGCTGCCCCCTTCCTGCGTGACAGTCTGAGCCCCCCGCCAGATGTCTGGGGGCCGTGCTTGGGGCGACAGATCCCTGCAGCCCAGGGGGTGGGGTCGGCCTAGCTACCTCTCGCCCCTCCCGGTGCTGAGAAGGGAGGACGAGGGGCTGGGAAGGCGCTGCGGCCGGAGCGACCCAGAGGGACCTGCCTCTACTCCCGAGGCACACGGACGCGCCTACGCGAATTGGGAAGGCGACGCTGGAGGGTCCCTGGAGTCTGGGTACCGCAGTCCTCAGCGGGTTTGAGGGGTGGGCAAGCGATGTGCTCGGGGGGAGGGGGGGATAGGGGCCAGCGTAGAATGTCCCCCTATGGTGACACATTCGAGATTGTTCAAAAGAGCGTCGTTTCTCGGTTTCCCGCGGCGCGGAAGGGCTGGGGTCGGGATGCCTGGGCTTCAGCGGTCCCGCGAGGAGACGCCCCATGGGGGCCTGTGCAAGGGAGGCGCCTGTCTCTCGGGCTGAAGTGGGCCTGCCCGAGACCCCTGCCGGGCCACCTTAAAGGCACAGGCTCCTGCGGCAGCGGCGGGAGGCGGGGGCCACATCCTGGCGGGACCTTGGATGATTGGGGAATCAGAAGGGGCCAGGGTGCTGATGGATGGATCTAGGTGCTCGAGGGGGAGCCCAGCCAGAAGCCGCTTGTATTTCACGCGGAGCTGGGAAGTAGAGCCTCACCCCTGGAAGCTCAGGCCCCCTTTGGAAGATGCTGGAGGAGAGGTGGTATACCCCTGCTGATTCTCCAGACCATTTCTAAGCTTTGAGGGCAGGTGCGTCAGTTCCACTTTCTTTATCTCCCCCAGCCTCACAGTGCTCCTCACAGTGCCCCATAAAAAACAAAACCAAAACAAAAAATCTCAAAACCGAGACACAGCATTTGGCTTTTCGTGTGAGCAGCCCAGCGTCGGGGGAGGCTGCGGGATGGGAGGGGGCTACACACCGGTTAAGAAGGGCAACTTGCCTGGGGACTGCTGTTGGGCAGAGCACACAAGCATCCTGAAGGTCAGGCTAGAGGCTTTTGTGGCTGTGGGCTTCGGAAGGGGATCAAGAACTGTCTGAGCAGGGTGTGGGGGGAGGGGCAGGCAGCAGCAGCACCCAGATTTTCTCAGGAGGCCCTAATCTGTGTTTGGTGCTGGGTGCAGGTGGGTTGGCGGAGCCCCTGGTCCCAGGCTGAATCTGGGGCTCCTGCTCCCCACTGACCTTGGGGAGGGCAAGCAGGGCTGTCAGCCGGACACAAGCTGAAATTTGTCCATAGAAATTAGAGACAGAACATACTGGGGCAGGCCCTGGGCCAGATCTTCCATCCAATCCATCAAGTGTGTGTGGGGTGACCAGGAAGGCCGATGGGTCCCTTCCCTCCCTGTGCTGCAGGTCAATGGTAGGTGATTCCCTGTCTGGGACAAGACCTGGTGAGTCTGTTTGCCCCTGTGTGCAGTGAGGGGAGGTGTCCATGGGGAGCCTCTCCAGGGACCCTTTCCTGCATTCTAAAGATTGATCAGACTAAAGGATCCATTAAGGTCCTCTTTTGTGAAAGGTTCAGGCTGGCAGGCAGTTGATTGGAGAAACATTGGGGGACCCATCCTTTTTCATGCAGCCACTCCTCTCTGTGTTGCTCCTGCTTTGGAACTCTCGCTCAATTTGTGTTGAATAAACAAACACACGAAGTGGGTGTTTACAGATCAGTATACGCAACTGAGAGGCTAGGAAAGACAGGGGCTAAGCCTGCATGGTGGCTTTCTTCCTGGGGATATGACCTCAGGTTGAGTGTCCCAGGTCTCTGGCCTCCCAGGGATGAAGACTTCCTTGACCGAGGGCACTGATTAAGTGCAGGACACCTTGTGCTGTCTGGCTGAGGGCAGAACCAAAGTGTGCCAGGCACAGAGCTTGAGCTCGGCTCCCTGCCAGGAAGGCCTTGCTTCCCTGAGAGCCACTCAGCATGGAGCTGACACCTGGAGTAACAGTAGTTTTTTGTGTGGGGAGTATGTGAGCAGAGGTCTGATGCCCCGGACAGGGGCTGCCTGGGGGTTTTTCTGCACTGGATTAGAGGTCCTGGAAGCTCCGACTGCCTCTGGCCAGAGGAATCTAAAGTCCAGGGTCTGAACAGGCTGGGCCTAGTGGTCTAGCTGCCTGGCAACATGCAGGCTGGAAACTCCTCGGCTGCGACGTGTTTGTACCGAGCCCTGGATGCCGTCAGAGGCACACGGTGACAGCCACTCCCATAGTGACACACAGAAAGGGAGTGACACACTGCTGGGGAGGCATATAGACTTCCCGTGACAACTGCCAGAGAGCTGGGGCAAAACGTGCAGCAGCAGGAAGACAAACGGACATGGGGACACACCCTGTCACACAGATCTGGTCACACCTGGGGACTTGGACATTTGCACAAGGACGATCACCAAAGTCTGCGTTAATGAAAGGCCAGATACGCGTTGAATTGAATGAGGAAAATGTGTGTGTGTTGCCTGAGACCAGAACAAGTGTGGCAAACTTTCTGTAAAGGGCCAGAGAGGAAATATTTTAGGCTTTGCTGGCGGTACACTCTTGTACTTCATTCTGCTGTTGTAGTGTAAAAGCAGCCATAGATGACACACAAACAAATGAGCATGGCTCTGTTCTAATAAACTTTATTAATGGACACTGAAATTGATGTTCATACAATTTTCATGTGTCCTGAGATATGAGTCTTTTCATTTTTTCCCGACCATTTAAAAATGTAAAAACCGTTCTTGGCTCACCGGCTGTACAAAAATAGGTGACAGGCTGGATCTGACCTGCGGGAATGGTTTGCCAACTCCTGGGCTGTAAGGTTAGAGCAGAGAAGTGGTTTAAGAGGTTGAAGGAGGGAGGAGCTCAGTGCTGAGAGCCTGAGCTGCCCCAGGGGGCTTCGGATGCTTCCCTCCACTCTGCTTGAGCATGGAGTGCCCATCTGCTACATGGGTCAGTGCCAGGAGAGGCTCCCTGCCTGGCCTCTGCACCCCACCCCAGATAGCCTCCCCTGTGTCCGTATGATGAATCTCCCACTCTAAGGACACCTGGAGACAACATTCATGAAATGACATTACAGCACTTGAGCTCACCAAACAGGTCCTGAGTCCCCTTTCCCATTCACCCTCTGTGCCCACATCCATGCCCACCTCCACCAGGAGGGAGACTGTAGGGAAATCTGGACATGCCCCTTGTTTCCAGACAAGACTTGCAACTGACAATGAGCAGCCTGAGTCCTGAAACAGCCCAGGCAGGAGTGAGGGGCTCCTCGTCTAGGAGGAGGGTGAGGTCAGTGGAGGTGGGTGCATCCAGGATGGGCTTCCTGGAGGTGGTGATAGGAGGTCAGGTTGGCCTTGAGGAATACCTGGACGCTCTCATCTTAGCTCCATGCATTGCCTTAGCTGTCCTCATCGTTCCCCCCTGACAAGTGGGCACCACAGAGGGTTGGCTGAGAAAAAAAATATGCAGCTCCTTTGTAGACGCCTCGGAACTTCCCAGCTTCTGATTTAAGGCTGTGTGGTGAACCGGGTCCTGCCTTCAGTTTCTTCCTATCCCTTCTGTCACCTTCTGACATTTCCTTCCCGCTGTTTCCCTGGAGGTAGGCCTGGGAGACTCCCCTCTCCCGTTTTCCCAAGTCTCTGGATTGTGTCCCCCTCTTTCCGTTCCAGCTGCAGGCCCCCATCACCTCTAACCTCAACGCAGAAAACGGCCTCAGGGTGGGTTTTCTGCCTGCACTTTCCCTTCTACTCAGCACACCAGCCTTCTGAGGAAGATTCCCTAACCGAGAATTCATCTCTTCCCCGCTTCACACTCTTCAGTGCCCCCAGCCCTGTCCCGTGGATCAAGGCAGTGTCCCTGGCGTCCGCAGACTGGCACCAGCCTTCGCCCTCTCGTCCACCTCCACCGCCTGATATCTTGCTGTGTCCCTCGACACCCCGAGTCACCTTCCCAGACCCACCCCGCCACTCAGCAGAGTTTCCTGCCCCCCCCCCCACCTGCCCTGCCCGTGCCTGTGCCGTGCTGTGTGCCCGGGGCACATGTGAGGCAGAGCTGGCCCTCTCTCCCAGGGCCTCACACCCACTCAGGAGCGACTGCTGGTTAACAGGGGGCAGTCCCACCTCCCCTGAGCCACACCCTTGCTGGGAGGTGCTCAGTGAACTATCCAGAAACAGTGCCTGCTCCTGGCTTCCTGCTCCCTCTCCCTCCCCACCTCCTACTGCCTCTTCCCACCTTCCTCTTCCTCCTTTTATCTTCTGCTTCTTCCTTCCCCCTCTTCTCCCCTCTTCCTCTTGCCTGGTGGGGGGCGGGCACTCTCCCTGGCAGAGAACTCCCAGAACCCCTTGAGGACGGGGGATGTGCCTGCCCTGTCCAGTGTGGAAGGGCTGTGCAGCATGACCCTGGGAAAGTCTCCCTGTCTCTTGGGGCCTCACACCCTCACGAGTGAAATGGGATAACACACCAGTGTGCACGTGTGTGCTCCGGCCTGGCCCTCCCCTGCCCTGATCCCGGGTTCCCTGAGTGTAAAATGCAGGGCTTGGGGGGAATCATCCCTGGGGGCCCTTCCAGGGACCTGGCTTCTGTCACCAGCTGTGCACAGGCCTCCGGGGGCCAGGCTCTGAAAGGGGAAGGTTTGAACACCAAGAGGAGCATCACATTAGTGATTAATCCTGCAATTTCCAGGATGCTCCTCGCCCAGGAGCCCGGCTCTGCTTTTATCAGCTCTGACCTCACTGAGGAGGAAAGAGGTTTTGGAGGTTTCCCCTTCCTTCCCAGAAGCAAGTGCAGTTCCCTCCCTTTGAGAGGTGAGCTGAGGGGGAGCACTGTTCCATCGTTCAGCCGCCCTCCCTGGGTCCCTGCACCGGGAGGGAGAGGAGGAATGGGGGGCAGTCCTGCTCAGGTTTCATTAAAGGGAGCATGTGGCCAGCAAGGGAGGCCAGTGATCTACTTCTCCTGGGTCATCTTCTGTCTGGTGTCCAGGCTTGGCACTGCCCTGTGACGGGGAGGGATGCTGAGCGGCCAGAGGAGTCCAATAGGAGATGGCAGATGGCTCCAGCTCTATGAGGGCAGGAGAGGGACCCCAGGCTGTGCGGTCCAATGGAGAGGGAGGGCGAGGTGCTGCCCGCCCACTGTGGGGGCTTCATGAGGCAAAGGATGGCCTGGAAGGACATGGTGGAAAGACATCAGAGCTTGCCCCTGAGGGCCCTGGACCAGCGCTGGAGGGGGCGAGCGCCCCATCCCAGGCGCCGGGCCATCCTCAGCCGCGGTGCTGCAGAGAGGGTCCTGCAGGGTGTGGGGCAGTAGGGGCATGGCTTGAGGGTCTCTGAGTCCCCTCTCACTCCGTGCGGAAAGTTACGAGCCCGGTGACTCACCGCTGGCTCCCGTGTGCTGGGTGATGACGCCGTCTTCCTGTGTGCCTGGCGCAGTGGCTCACCGGAGGACAGGCCGTGCAGCTGCTCTTGTCAGTTCCTACTCTTGGTTGCTCACTGGGCCGATGAGGAGGGCAGGCCCCCTCGAGTCTGGAAGGGGGAGCAGGCTCCCCTCCAGTTCAGGTATCTGTCACATCCATTTCTGCCAGGCAGGGCTCCAGGACTCTCCACGGTGTGACCTTGGGAAGTGTCTCCCCTCTCTGGCCTCAGTTTCCCCACAGGTAACTCAGTACCACAGGGAAGTGGCTTTTAAAGTCCATTTAAGGTCTGAAATGCCGTGTCTGTAATTAACTCTTCCTAAGGAGGGTGCGTCAGATATAGGAATACGGACAGGGAGTAGCAGAGGCCTGACCAGTCCCCAGGGTGTGAGAGGGATCATTAATGGGGTACCAATGCAAAGGGGTACAAATCAGCTTCTGAGCTGATCTTCCTTGTACCAGTGACAGAGATTGGCAGGAGCATAGGGATGGAGCACACAAGCTTTGGAGCCAGGCTGCCTGGGATCACTTCCCAGCTCTACCATGTATTTGCTATGTGACCTTGGGGAAGTTGCTTAGCCTCTCTGTGCCTCAGTTATCTCAGCTATAGAATGAGAATAATGCTAGTAACTACTTTATAGGTTTTATAGTTAATGCATATTTATTGATTGGAAGAGTGCCTGGCACGTACTGAGTGTTTAATAAATGTTAGTCATTAGCAAAGAAAGTCACAGCAGGCCTGCTATTCCCATTTTGAATGTGACACAGGCTATCGGGGTAGACGTGACAGCAAGAGGGTGCAAAAACCTGAAAATCAGTGGTAAGATGATAATAATAGTTACCATATGTGTAGCCCTTACTGGGGGCCCGGCTATGCTCTATAGTTTACTTATATAATTTGTTGATGCCTCACGGTAATATCTATGAGATAGGTTTTACTATTATTCTCATTTTACAGGTAATCATATTGAGGCCCAGAAGAGCCAAGTGGCTTTCCTGAGTCCCTAAGGCTAAAAACTCTGGCAAAATTGTCCCCAACTTTACCACAATAAATGCCAGGAGATAGAGGTTAGTTGTCCTCAGATCAGTTGCAAAAGCGAATTGCCCCAGTAGAGCCTGGACCCAAGAGAGACATCCTCAGAGTATCAGTGACCAGGTCATCCTGAGCCACTTGTGTGGCTGGGCCGGCAGAGCCCAGTGTCATCCCCAGGGAGAGGAGAGTCCAACCCCAGGCTGCAGTGGCCAGGCCTGGCCCTGTCCTGTGAGGGGACATCGGCAGCTTGGGGAAGTCCAGAGGAGGGAGGCAGCTAGGATGAGGATGAGGAGGAGGAGCCGCTGACAGGGCTGCAGGTGGCAGGCTCAGGGCATGCATCTCAGAGGGCAGAGGAGCCAGCATGTGGTCCTGAGGGGTACCAGGTTTGGGGCAGGTGGCCTAAGACTGTGAACTCTGAGTGCTGTCCATCAAGGGTGGTGCAGGGTGGCCCCAGGGCAGGGCTGGGAGGGGGGCAGAAGTGCCAGGAGGGGCTGAGGAGATTATTGCTCTGAGAGAGGCCAGAGCAGGTGATCCCCAGCTGAGGCGGGGGAGTGGGAAGGTCAAGCCCGGGCAGCTCTCAGGTGCTCTCTCGCTGGTGAGTGTCTGTGTCTAGTTGGGCAGGGGTGGACTGAAGTGGGGGGAGGTTAACAAGACAGGACAACAGCGGGCTAAGAGAGTAGATCTCACAAGTTCTCATCACAAGAAAAAAAAGTTGTAACTGTGTGGTGGTAGATGTTAGCTACACTTACTGGGGTGATCATTTCACAGTACATACAAATATCGAATCACTATGTTCTACACTTGAAACTAACATAATGTTACATGTCAATTATATCTCAATAAATAAAAGAGAGGGCAACAGGGGGAATCAAGACCCCGGGTCTAGTTCCAGAGGAGGTGCCATGTTGAGAGTTCCCCAGCCCCTCCACCCCGCGTCACCGGGCGGGGGGCGCACCTCTCCCCTGGTTCACATCGTTGCCTAAGCAGGCCAGAGCGGGGAGCTGGGGGCTGATGGGGCTGGGGGCCTCTGCTCCAGCTTGTTTTTAATCCAGTGCAGCGGTGGCCGAGGAGCTGCCCTGCCTGGAGCAGGGACGAGCATCCTGCAAGACTGGCATCCCCATTTGAGTGCATGTGTTTGTGTGTGTACCTGCACCTGCCTCCGAATCCATGTATATATAACTGCCTCTGTATATCTGAATGCCTTTGCAGAATAAGTGTGTCCGTATTGTTATATATATCAGTAATCTGGTAAACGTACGTGAATATCTAAAAGCTGTGTGATTGCACCTGCATGTATCTTTGTTCTGTGTGCTTCTGCATTTCTGGGGAGGAGAGTGTGTCTGTGTGTATCTGTGTGTGTGTGGAGTCATCTGCCGGTCCCTGAAGGATTCTCCACCCTCGTGTGTTCCACACATGGCGTTTGTATGATGCCATCAGGTGGGTGCCCTGGGGATAAATGTCTGTGTTTGTCTCTGTGGGGTTGCTCTTCTCTTTGGACTTGTTTCTGTGTAGTGTGTGCGTGTGTGTGTGTGTGAGAGAGAGAGAGAGAGTGGGACAGACAGAGAGAGAGAAAATCAGAAATCAGCCAGCTCTCAAAACACAAACTCGTTCTTGGCTTGCCCGCTGCCCACCTGCCCTCCTGAGTAGGCAGAGCCAGGGAAGCCACCAGCTCTTCTGGGCCGGCTCTCCTGGTTCTAATAAAGGTTAAAACAGAGGCTTTATGGGCCAGCCCGGTGGCTTAGCGGTTAAGTGTATGCGCTCTGCTACTGGCGGCCCGGGTTCAGATCCCGGGGACGCACCGACGCACTGCTTCTCCGGCCATGCTGAGGCCGCGTCCCACATACAGCAACTAGAAGGATGTGCAGCCATGACATACAACTATCTACTGGTGCTTTGGAGAAGAAAAAAGGGAGGAGGATTGGCAATAGATGTTAGCTCAGAGCCTGTCTTCCTCAGCAAAAAGAGGAGGATTAGCATGGATGTTAGCTCAGGGCTGATCTCCCTCACAAAAAAAAAATAATAATAATAAAAAAAAACAGGCTTTATAATCCGAATCCAATCCAGGTGAGAGTCACCTGGAGTGCTTTAAATAACACCCATGCCCGGGCCCGGCCCCAGAGAGGCCGACTCAGTTGGCAAGGGTATTTTTAAACGCTCCTCAGTGGTTCTGACGGGCAGCCTGGGTGGAGCGCTGGGCTGAGAGGTCAGAGCGCATCTCGGGACCAGGGTCAGGGCTTGGGGAGGAGGCACGAGTCTTCATTTGTGGGAGCCCGGTCTTGAAGGAAGGGAGTAGTGCTATTGCCGTCTCAGGGTGTCGCTGGGAGCAGGGAGCTCTGATTTCGTCTCCGGTGCTCCTCGCTCTTCCCAGGCCTCCTCCTCCAGGAAGCTTGCTCTGTGCCCCAGGGCCGAGGTCTCTCCCAAGAGACAGAAACAGTGGCTGGCTTGATGTTTCTGGTGGCATCTTGCTGGGAGTCCAAGGGAGACAGCCCCTCCGGAAGGAGCACTGTGTGTCCCCTTGGTAACACAGGCTGTGCATCCATTTCCCTCCCGTGGCTCTTGTCTGGGCCCTGCTGGCTGTGTGGCAGGCCAAGGAGGGAGCTGAGATGAGCAGCCACCTTTCTCTTGGCTAAGAAAGCTGAGACCCGCAGAAGCAAAGGGTCTAGATTGGGGCCCAGTGCTGGGGCCAGAAGCCAGGCCCACGCTGCAGGCTGAGGCGCTGGCACCCTGCCAGAAGGGGCTGTGTGGAGCCCTCCCCCCTCACCAGCCTTTGGCCTGAAGTTGTCGTAGGTGTGGGCGAATGGGCTCCAGATATCAGAGGCCTTCTGCCTTGTGGGAGCTTCTCTAAGCCCTCTGCTGGCCCGGAGAGACGGCCTCCAGCATTTGCTGAGGGTTAGTGGGCCGGGCACTGCTCTCTTCCAGCCAGGCCGGTCAGGAGTGTCAGTTCGCTGCAGACTGGGCCTTGGGCTCCCCAGGGATAGTGGAGGTGACCAAGCCCCCTGGGGGCCACCAGCGCCAGGTCATGCCAGAGGCAGGCTGTGCCCATCAGGGGTGTGGAGGGCCCGGGGAGGGGGTACAGAGACTAAAGCCTGAGTGTCCAGCACAGCTGGTATCTTGAGGTGCCCAGGGATGCTGGGGCCTTTGCTTCCCGCGCCTGCCCAGTCCTTTCTGACCTGCAGGGGAGAGGCTGGGCCAGCATCCCCATGGGCCCCTGGGCGTCTCAGAGCATCTCTTGGGGATACTCAAGGCCTCTCTCAGCATCTCTGAGTGGTCCCTGAGCAGGCAGAGCAGTGGGTGGGTGGGAGGGGGCCCCCTTTCATTGAGCCTTCCTGTGGCTGGTTTCCTTTGTCCTTTTTAGGTGCTTGCTTGTCACCAGATTGAGCTTGAAGAGGCCAAGGGGAGCTCCCCAAGGAGGGGGGAGGGAGGCGTGGGTAGGCAGAGGGCCGGGGGCACAGCGGTCCCGGGGTAATGGCCCCTCTGCCCGCTGGTAGGAGGTGTGCAAGGACCAATGGTCGGGATGCAGCCGCCCATGGGCCTCCTGAACCAGACACCTATGGGTTATGGTGGCCCTGAGCCGGGCCTACTCAATCTCTTTAATAAGAATTTAATAATAATAAAAGTAATAATTTTAAAATTACTATGTAGTATTCCATTGTATAGCTATGCTGGGGCCCATTAACACTGCCTCCCTGATGGATGCTTTGTTGCCCCAGGTTTTGCTGTTGATGCTATTTTAAATGATGCTGCGGTAAACATCTTGCATATGCTTCTTTTTGTATGGTGCACGTTTCTCTAGGAAAGATACCCAGATGCAGAATTGCGGGGTTGTAGGGAATATGCGTTAAAGATCAATTTTAGAAGCAGAGCAGACTCTTCCCCTGGGAATGTGCTGGGGCTCCCACAGCCTCCTCCCTCAGCTCCTCGTACCCTGTCTGGTCCCCACTGGTGGCCCTCATCCTCCAAGACGTTCCGTCTTGGAGCTCCTGCAGCTCTGAGGCCTGAGCACAGTCTTCAGCAGTCACTGTTTTGTGTGTCATGATGGTAAAGGCTTTATCCTGAAGGCCGGGTGGGCTGAGGCAGAGTGACAGGAGGTTATGTTGGTTAGGGGAGCAGGCTCAGCAGTGGAACACAGCGGCCCTATGAGTGAGCGAGTTGGACAGCAGCACCGTTCTTTCTCACCTAGCAGTCTGGGGCTGGGTAGGCCTTCTGGGGCTGGTGGGCTGGCTCGGCTCCACCAGCTCGCTCAGCCATCCGAGTTTCTTTCCGAGTGCCGCTCCCTGCCCCTCGTGTTGTCCTCGCTGTGCCGTCAGAGCTGGTCCAGCATTTGGGAAGGGTGAAAGAGTAGAAGTGGAGGGCATGCGATGCCTCAGGCACAGGTGGTGCGGAAGTGGCACATGTCACTCCAGCCGTGTTCATTGGGAGACCTTCATCCTATGCCTACACCTGAGGGACCGGGATCTGTCCTCTCCAGGCGGGCGTGCAGGGGCCAGCTAAAACCATCACTGTGGGGGAGAGTTGGGGAGATAGTCATCTGCTGCAGAGGAGAAAGCCATCCGGACCATTCCAGGAGTCCGATGGGGGCTGAGCCGGTGTGTTCCCCACTGCACCCCCAGCGCCCAGCACTCAGTAGGTGCTCAGCTGCTGTTTGCAGGATAGAAGAATAAAGAACAGCACGGAAGAAGGCATGGAGGAGGTTACCCTCAGAGGCTGAGAGCCTTCCTGCAGGAGGGGAGGGGTCCCTGCCCCTCCTCTGCTCCTGGACCCACAGGATTCATGCCTTGCCTTTCTCTCTAGCCTGCAGACACCTTGGGGCTGACCAGTGGCTGCTCTGAGTGGGAGGCGAGCGGTGCTGGCCTGAGCCTCCTTCCAGGCTGAGAAGTGTCATGGCCAGGATCGTGCAGGCCTCCCTGGCTGCTCTCCTCCTGCTGCCTATGGTAAGGGCCCAGGACCCTCCCCTCCGTGACCAGCGGAGCCCCAGACTCACCTGAGCCCCCACCCCAGAGAACATGTATCTTTTGTGTGCCCTCAGCCAAGCTCAATTCACCTGGCTGGTTTCTCTGCCAGCACCCCCACTGGACCATTCACAGTGCCTTTGTGTGAATTAGAAAGGGTGCCCCTTCCTCAAGACCCTGTACTGATTTGACCAGAAATTGTTACATAGTTTACAAACCTATTATGATGGTGACATGTGTGGCAACCTTTCGAGTTGTGCAGTACACAACCTGCTCAACTGTATACAGGAGCCCTGGTCAGGGCTGCAGAAGGCTCTTTTGATTCCAGTCCCCTGCCCACAAGTCTTGCTAGGTGAGAGCTCAGAAGCCTGCTCTCTGCTCATGTCTTTCCCCCAGCAAGGGGGATGGGGGTGTTCCCAGGCGCTGACCCCTTCCCCTCAACCTTGGAATTCTGACCTTCAATGGATGCAGCTGTCTTGAGAGCCCTGGATGCCAGTCCTGCCTTACTGTCTGACCGCAGACAAACCCGTCCCTCTCCCTGGAGGCCACCTGTATATCTGAGAACAGTCAAGAGCTGGACTGGATCCGTGAACACTGCCCTTGGCAGCTCAGATGCCCAGTGCCTGCCTCCATCCTTACCACATCCCTTTACGGAACCACCCCTGCCCTGGAGTTTTGATTAAAGTGACAGTGTTAGGGTGCAGCTGTCATGGGAGCACTGCATGGGCTTTGCAGTTACTTGGTCCTGCGCTTTAATCCAGTATCTGCCACTAACCCGCTGTGTGACCTTGGGCACGAGTTTCTTAATGGCTCTGAGCCTTGGTTTCCTCTTTGGTCAAATGGGACAGGAGTAAATGAGAGGGGCTAGCGGGCCCCACTGAATGCTACCGCAGCTCCTTCTCCTGCAGCTCCCGGGGGCGTGCCTCCTTCCTGAGGCCCCAGAGGAGAGAGAGGATGAATGAGCTCTTTTAGCCCCTCCTCTCTTCCTCCCTCTGCTTGCTCCCATGAAGGGCAGTACTAGCCTCGTGTCTCTGGAGCCAGACCGCCTGGGTTTGAATCCAGGCTGTACATCTCCTAAGCCATGTAACTTGGAGCAAGTTACTTAATGTCTCTGTGCTTAAGTTTCACATCTGTAAAATGAAATGGTGAAAATAGTACCTACTTTGTAGTACTCTTGAGATGTACATATATATATATGTGTGACAGAATAATGCATACACATAGTAAAGTGCTACATATGTGTTTGCTAATATTATTAAAGATGTGGCAACTGAGACCCAGGGAGGGGGTCGATCTGCCCAAGGCCGCACATTGAGTTGGTGAAGGAGAAGAGCCCTCATGGTATCTGTGACAAAGTGGATGTCAGGGCCCCTGCTGGCCCTGAAATCTCTTTGTCACTATCCCCTTCCTGCTTCTGCCTCCACACCCCCGCACCCCCCCCCCCCAGCCTGCCTCCCACCCCGCACCCTACTGCCCCTGGGGCTTAGGTGGCAGGCTTGTAGATGAACCTCCCTGCTCCCTCTCACCATGTGTTCCCTGCAGGCCACCGCCATGCACTCTAGCTGCATCCTCAAGAAGGAGCAAGCCATGTGCCTGGAGAAGATCCAGAGGGCGAATGACCTGTTGGGCTTGAACGACTCCTCCCCAGGTGAGTGGGGTGGCAGGGAGGGCACGGCATCCCCAGCACACCCAGGCCAGCCTTGAGAACTGGTGTCCCAGCATCCGGCCACCTTCTAGAGAGCGGTGGAAGGTATAGGTCCCTGGGTCCTTGAGAAAGCCCTTTGGGGTGATGGAGGCCTGAATTTGTTCTGGACGGTGATACTGGGGTTGCCCTCCTTGGGGTCGGCCTGCCCTGGATGCCTCCTTCTGGAAGGGGTTGTCCTGGGTGGCTGGCTCCGATCCCATGGGGGCTGGGATAGAGCTGGTGTCTGGGCTGGGCAGCGGCTGTCAGAGAGCTCGTTAGCAGGCAGCCTGGGCCTGGTGGCAGCAGGGACACAGCTGTTGCCTGTAGCCGAGCTGGAGAGCACCTGGTCAGCCCAAGGCAGGAGGGGTGGGGTCATTTCCCACCTGCTTTGCTCACTCATCAGAAGCCAGAGAGCAGGCAGCAGCAGGAGCCCCAGTCCTGAGCCCATCTGGAGCAGCGCTTCCCGGGGCTGCTGTTAGCACTGGGGAGGGATCCTGCTTCCTCGTGCTGGAGGGGGCCATGCACCGCAGGACACGTAGCGGCCTTAGCTCTCCCCAGTAGATGCCCATAACTCCTCTGATCCCACTGACAGCCACAAATGCCTCGCAACATTCCCAATGTCCCAAGGGAGTGGCATGGCCCCTGGCTGAGAACCAGTGGCCCTGTGTAACGCCCCCCCTCCTGACTTCCCCGCTGTGCAGACAGGACGCCGAGGCCCACAAGGCAAAGGCACCGTCAGCTTCCTGATGCCTGGCGGGGCCAGAGAGAGGCTCTGCATGGGCGGTTGGGGATTTGGGGCTGGGGGCCTCCTTGGAGGCTCGCCAGCCTCACTTATGCTTCAGTTGCTGGAGGGTGGGGCTCTCTGCCCAGACTCGAGGATCCACTTTTCTTCTGGATCCTCTCTCTTACAGGAGCTCCTCTGAGCACCGTCTGTTTAAATACTTGATTAGTTGGCAGCCCGGTTCAATGTAACGGTCCCCCTGGGCCGAGCTCTCTGGCCAGTCCGTGAACATGAACTGTTAATGGCGCCGCTCCCGGCCATGCTGGCCTTCCCTCAGCCGAGCTCTTGCTCAGCCCTAACAGAGGCCGAAAGTGGATTTTAGGCCCCACCAGCCAAGGAAACCAAGGCAGGCGGCCCAGATGGGCGCACAGTTTCAGGAAACCCAAAGAATATCAGGTCCATGCCTCTAGACTAGGGGATGGGAAGATGGAGCCCTGAGGGCAGTGACTCTTCAGACCACGTGGAGGGAGAGGGGTCCCAGGCTGAGGTGGCCCTGGACCCAGGTGTCCTGCCTCCTAGTCCACGGCTGCTGTTCCTGTATCGTAGGTCTCAGAGGCTTTTGAGGCTGAGCAGTGAGAAGCATCCGGGAGGGAAGAGCAGAGGAGGGAGGTGGGGTGGGGACCTGGTGTGCAGGTGAGCTGCACGCAGGTTAATTGCACCGCCACCTGTGAAGCCCTGGGCTGGGGGAGGACAAGAAGGCTTGCCCACAGGGGCATCCTGGCAGGAGGGTGAGCCGGACAGATGTAAGGGTGGACACCCTCTCAGGAGGGGGCAGGCCAGTGCTGGGGAGGGGGTCTCACCCCCAGGCATGCTCAGGAGAGGAAGAAAGACGTTCCCTGTGGGGAAAGTGGGCAAGGATTCACGGAGAAGGTGGTATTCAAACTAGGTTCTTGGTTCTCAAACCTGGCTGCACATCAGAATCACCAAGGAGCTTTTAGAAAAGCCACCATCCCAACCAATTAAATCAGTACCTGAGTTAGTCATAGTCACCATGATTTTTAAAGGCTCCCCAGGCGATTCTGCTGAGAAGCTAGGCTGAGAACCCCTGAGCTAGGCCCTAGGGACTAGTAGACACTTGACGTCAGGTGAGAGCTGAGGGATGGATGAATGGAGAGAACATTCTAGGCTGAGGGAGCCACGGCAGCAAGAGGCAGGGGTGGGGGAGGAGGGGAGTGAGTGACTGTCTGTGTCTGGAGCCCTGAATTGGAGTGGGTGGGGTAGGCTAGAGAGAGGGTATGGCTGAGGGCCCCGCGAGCAGGTATCTGTATGTTCCATGTCCGTCTCCACTGGAGTTGGAGGTAGGAGGGGACAGCAGTAGGTGGCTTCCACCGAGGTGGCACCCCTCCAACTTCCCCCAGGACCCCACCTGGCCCTCCTCTGGCCCTGCCTTGGGGGTCCTGTGAGTCAGAGCCAACCACAGATCACCCCCCAAACCTGAACTTGTCTGAGGGACCCCAAGCCTGTGGGAGAGATTCACTCACCCACCCACCCACTCATTCATTCACTCATTCATTCATTCCCTCACTCATTCATTCTCTCACCCTCTCACTTACTTATTCAACTCACATGATGAGCTGGAGTCTTAGGTGTCTGGCCTGGGTGGAGTGAGGGCAGGGCCAGGGGTAGGGGACTGCAGAGAGAGAGATGTGCACTCTGATAGCCTGGATTGCAGTTCAGAGAGGTCGTGCCAGTGGGGAGAGGTGGAGCTGGTGCTGTGCGAATTCAGTGGAGAGAGAAAGCACTTCCTGCTGGGCAGGCTGAGTGTAGGTGGTGGGATCAGGGAGGCCTTCAAGGAGGAAGGGGCATTCAGGCTGGGCATGGAAGAGGGCAGGGTGTGAGGGAGTCTCCTGGTGGCAAGGGAATGGCCCTTCTCTAACCCCAAGTACTCAGAGGAGACAGGAGGCTGCACCCTCCCGTGGCCTAAAGAGAGGTTCTGCTACCTCTCCCTATCCCCTACTTTGAGTCATGGGGTGGGGCTCCATAGGACAGAGCTGAGACCTAATTAAGTAGAGTCAAAAGGCAGCCATCAGGTGGAAAAGAAGATGAGACTGTGGGCCCAGCTGGACCACTACCTCCATGGTTCTTTCCTGCTCTGTGCCTCAGAACCTCCTCAATTAAAATGAGGGGGTGCCATGGATCATGTTAACAGCCACTTTTTATATGGACTTACCATGTGCCAGCACTCTACTAGTGCTTTTTACTCCCACTGCAGCAACCTAGGGGGTCGGGTCTATTATTACCCCTGTTTATAGACAAGGAAACTGAAGCACAAGGAGCTTATGTACCTTGCTAAAGCCAGTCCAGTATGAGACAGAGGTGGAACTTGTATTGGGGCAGCCTGTGCCCTCAGCCACTGGGATACACTGCCTCAGAGGAATGATATGATACTCTCTGAGCCCCCTGTCACCAGCCATGCAACTGTATGAAGAGCACTTAACACCTTCATTTTCTTGATGCAAAATGGAGGAAAAAATAGTATCTACCACACAGGATCACTGCATTAAATGACAGTTGTGAGAAGTGCTAAGGAGGGTGTGTGGCATTTGCTAAGTGCTCAGCTAAGACATTGCCGTTATTTAGAGTTGTCGTCTCATAGTGTGGACTGCCTCCAGGGTCTCCTCTCTTCTGCTGGATCCGAGTTCTTCTGGGGAAGGGTGGAGGCATCTCTAGGAAAAGGTCAGTGCAGTTTGGAACAATCTGGAAAGACTTTCTGGAAGAGCAGAGGAAGGGTTGGGGGCCAGATCTGGGCTTCAGAGGGCAGATGGAGAGGCATGGGAAGACAGGAGAGAAAGCTCCAGGTGGGGATGACCTGAGTCAGGGTAAAGGAGCAGTGAGTATTATGGGCAGGAATTGTAACAGCCAACACTTAAGTACCAGGGACCAGGTTCTAAATCTTTGCACACGTACAGTCGCACAATATAGCTCATTTAAACCTCACCAGGCTATGGGCTGGGTAGAGTTTCCTTCCCATTTTTCAGATGAGGCTCTGCAGACTCACAGTTAGGTTATTAGCCTGGTACCCAGTAAGTCAGGCAGCCAGGAAGGCTGGGGCCAGGATGTGCGTTCGATGGTTTCAGAGTTCTTCCTCTTAACCACCACACTGCTTTTCGGCTCAGAAGAGGAGTGAGGAGACACCCTCACCCCCAGCTTTCCGCCTGGCTGCAGTGAAAGGTCATAGGGCAGAGGAAGTTGAAATGAGTCTGGAGAGAGGAGCTGGGAGGGGAGGGCCTTAAGTGTGCCCCCGGAGATCTGCACTTTTCTTGGCTCTGAAAAGGCCAAAGGGCATTTGCATTTCTAAGGACCAGGACAGCATGAGGCCTCAGCCTCTAGTGACCTGCTTGGCTCGGTCGCGCAGGCCCCAGCTCCAGCGAGGGGAGGCCGAGGAGTGTCCAGCCTGGCTCTCTTCAGGCTGTGGTTGGCAGGGGCCTTTCTCTGCAAGCTGACGTTGGAGTTGCCCCTCCTTAAGGGACTTGAGAGCAGGTGGCCCCTGGCACCTTTCCAATGCTGAAGTTCTGGGAGAGCATTGACCCTGCAGTCAGCAACCAGGGGAGGGTTTGCTAGGGCCTTTAATTTTCCCGTGTGCTCCATACGAGCCTCAGGCCAGATCCTTGGGGCATCCTTGTCATTGCAGCTGAGCTAGGCTTCTTGGCTTCCGATTAAACCTGCTTGTGAAATACAGGCAGCAATCCATCTCATTGCACTGTGCGGTGCATTAGAACCCCCGGGAGCACTTACAGATGCAGATGTCCAGGCCCTCCCCAACCGGTGTGATCAGCATTTGGGTGGGGGCCTTGTGGAGGGTATGTGTTAATAGCTTCCAGATGATTCTGAAGTGTATCCAAGTTTGACAACCACTGATGTGGCCAAAGAATAGCATCCACAAGGCTGCTCATGCCATCTGGAGCCAGAGAGCAACCCCCAGGGCACAGGTAGAGCAGACTGGGACCTCACTCCTAGGAGCCAGGAGTCAAATTTGAGTGTAATGGAAAATCGGCAGTTGTGTGTTATGCTGTCAACCTGTGCGTGGGGGGAATTGAGAGACCCTTCCACTACACCCCTTCTCTGCACCTCCCCTGCCCCTTCTGTCCCTAAGCACACACACAGTACACAGAACGCTGGCCAGAGGTCAGCCGATGTCCCTGAAATGCACTTCAAAATGCAAAAAGAAAAACTGTCAGCTTGT